GCCACTACTACGGCCGTCTTCTCCTGCTCCGTCCTCAGAAGGGTTCGGACACTTTGCTACCCTTATTTTCCTTAGCGAGCGGCGGCTCCCCCTCGTTTTCACCCCACCGCACTTCTGGCGCCCCTATTTCATGCCTGCTGTGGTCGAGCCCAAGATGGCGCTTCCTTCCATTCTACTGGGGTTGGGCCCGGCCGAACCATTTTTCGGGAGGCGCGAGGCGCCGTGACATTTAACTGGACTGGCACACAGTGAAACCTCCCTGCGTGTGCGGCCGCTCAGCGGATGCCGCTGCTCAGCGCTGCGCAGGCGGTGACAGGAGGGCGCCACAAAATTGGCGCGAAACACTCTCCGTCTTCCCCCCTTGCAAAACCGCCCGCCATGGGCTCGCCCGAAGGCTGGCGGGGCTGCGCGCGGCAGGGCGCTACCAAGCTGGGTGCGGGAGGTGGAGGCGCGGGCGCTGAAACACGGACACCGCCGCGTTTACACTGTTTGTGCCGGGGCGCGGCCGATGCGCGGGGAGCCAGCGCCCACCCCCGCGGCGGCGGGCCCCCGTCGGTACTGCCCGCGGCCAGCGCCACAAGCCGGTGCGCCGATGGCGGCGTGGGCTGCAGGGCGGCACTTCCTCACACACCGCTTTCCATCGCTCTGTTAATCCTTACCAGACCTTTGTGGGGTTAAAATAATATTTTCCGTGAGGTGAAAGGTGAGGGGGGCCATGCCCTGGCGCCGCTGCACGCCCCGGTTAGCGCGAGAGGCCTTCAGAGGGGCGGTGACATCGCGGTGCAGTCGGACCCTCAGTAGGGACAGTGATCTGAGGGGTCACAGTGCACAGTCCTGGCGTTTTAGGATGATTTTTAAATGGTTTTAAAGCTTGAATTTATCTTTCACACCGGCTACCAACGTGACTGACCACCAGAGAGACCTGGCCCCGCGTTATCGATTAAACCACTGCCTTCCGTCGCGGGCGCGTCAAGCTGATGAAAAATACGTAGTGTCACTTTTCTCAGCATGTGTGCTAATACAGTGTGTTCAAAGTGGCTAAGGGAACCTGGAATTTGCCTTCCTGAGGTGACAACTGTAGAGGAAAAAGCTCAGAATAGTTCTCGAGGAATAGTTCTGAGCCCTCTTAGGAGGTGAACACTTGTGTTTTGAGAAGGACTTTTGGTGGTTTTATTTTTTTAGCCCAGTGCTTTCAGTCAGATCATCAAAGCAGTAAAAATGCCAGCATTAAAAAAAAAAACCAAAACAAAAACAAACAAGCATGAGAAGAGCAGAGCAGATATTGTACTTGGCATTTTAAATTTAGACCCCGTTGCAGTATCTCTCATGTTTTGGTAAAATCTCGAGGGAAGATGATACGAAGCCAAGGCGGACAGCCCCGCTGTGTGATTTATCGGGCAGTCACACGATGGCAGCCGAGCTCCACTCACATTCCGTTCGCCGAGCGCGTCCACTCCTTTCTGGAGCCACGGGCAGCACGTATGAATGGAAACGATGACTGGCACTTTGTGCGGCTATTTTTTCCCCTCATTATATCATGGTAGCTGACCAGACTTTGACTCCCCAGTCAGCAGAAGCACCGACACGCTGAAGTGAACAGAGAATGCTGTTTCCTGCCATCACAACCACATTTCTCCAAATGTGAGGGAGGAGGTGCTGCCGTCCCATTTATAGTCCCAGCTGGGTCCTCAGTATTCCATTGCTCTCCAGGACTGTGTATGTGGTCTCTGTTCCTTTTCACCACCCCCACAGTTGTCTGTATTGCTGGAATATGCAATTTCTGCAATTACCTTTCTTCCTGTTTGCATTTTTCCAGTCACTTTGGTTAAACTCTGGATCTAAACGTTGGATCCTCCTTCGCCTGACTTTGCATGGGCTGTTCTTGGCATTTTCCTGTACTTTTCAGCAACTTCTGATTTATCTGCTCTTCCTTCCTTCCCCTTTTCCTTTCTTCTGTTGAAATTTCCCCTCAGTCCCTGTTTTATCTCACTGCTATTCTTTTTCCTCCAGTCCTCACTCAGCAATCTGAGGGGAAGTGGAACAACTTTTAAAACCAGAGATTTTGGCACTGGCAGCTGAAGCCTGTTCCTTTAAGCATTCCACATGCAAAACTCCCAATCAATGGGAATTCTGGGGAAGGAAATCTAGCGGGAATGGCTTTTTATAGCACAGCCCTCAAACCACCAGTGCCTCATGAATTTCAGTGTGTGCAGGTGATCTGAGAATAGTGGAGCTGACAGCTCTGCTTCCTAAACTGAATTCTGAAGGAGTAAGCAAGCTCTTGTATGAAATTCTATCTAATACTGACAGGACGTGCCTGGAATGAGGCAGGGCCTCGGGTGGGGACCTGCCTGTGCATTACATTGGTCACTACACTGGGCTGGTTCTGCCTGTCTGCCCTGCTCTGGGGAGCCCCCCCTGCAGAGCTGCCTCCAGCTCTGGGGTCCCAGCACAGGAAGGACATGGAGCAGTGGGAGTGAGCCCAGAAAAGCCACCAAGATGATCAGAGGGGTGGAGCACCTCTGCTGTGAGGAAAGGCTGAGAGAATTGGGATTGTTCAGACTGGAAGCGGGGTGACCTAATTGCAGCCCCTTCCAGTGCCTGAAGGGAGGTACAAGAAAAGTGGAGAGAGATGTTTTACAAAGGCCTGGAGTGACAGGACAAGGGGAAATGGCTTCATACTGACAGAGGGCAGGGTTAGGTTAGATATTAGAGAAAAATTCTTCCCTATGAGGGTAGTGAGGCCTTGGCACAGGTTGCCCAGAGAAGCTGTGGCTGCCCCATCCCTGGGAATGTTCAAGGCCAGGTTGGATGGGGCTTGGAGCAACCTGGGCTAGTGGAAGGTGTCCCTGCCCATGGCAGGGGGTGGAACTAGAGGATCTTTAAGGTCCCTTCCAACTGAAACCATCCTGTGATTCTGTGATTCTATGACATGTGCCCTTTTTATTTTATTGTTTCTTTGTGCTCGAGGTTTTCCAGAAGCTTTCACTGCAGTTACAGTGAATATAGAAGTGTTCAATGACTTATGTCAAGCAGAGCCTCTCTGGCCCTGTTCAAAAATTATTTCTGCAATTGAATTATTTTTCACAGTATTTTTCTTCAAGACTCCAAAGCAATCTTCAGTTGAGAATGTCTTATTTATACCAAATAAATAGTTATGCTATTAGCTTAAGTACAGACCAATCAAAAATCTATAGCTAAATGAGAACGTGTTGATTCCTCTATTCATTTTCTCAAAAAATGCTATATAGGCGAAAAATCCTGTGGGGCTTAGTTTTCAGAAGTGCTGAGCATGCAAAACTGCTCTGCTGCTGTACAAACATGATTTGAAGGGCCTCTCAGCTCAAATAATGCCGTGCTTTTCTAATTTTATACCCAGCTTTCGTCTGCACCCACGCTCTGGGACTGAGCTGGAACAGCACCGAGGGAGGAGGAGGACGAGAATCACTCGACTCATTCACATCTTTGTAGCAGCACAGAAAGTTTCAAGGGGGAGCCTTATGGTTGCAATTACACCTGAAATAATTGTCACTTCATAATTTTCTGGTTTAGTTCCCTCTGCATACGGTGGACATGACCATTTATCTTCCCGTGACTAAGAAATATCAGGAACATTAACTAGTGAATGCATCCAATGCTTTGGATATTGAAAATATAAAGCCTTATTATGGATTGGTAATATCTCAGTCTGGAGGTCCAGAATCTATACAGATTTTTGCTTGTTTGATGGTGTTTTCAGGAAAACCATATGTGCCTTACATTTCATCAGGGTCAACCATATCATTCCTGACTAATAAACTACAGGAAGTGGGGGGAAAAATCAGTAATAAAATGAGAGGTGCTCATACCTGCAATTCGTATTTTTATGCAGTTTTGGAAAGGGGATTTGCATTTCAAATGCTCATATTTCTGTGCTTTCCTGAATAGGTTTATATTGATTTTTACCGTATTTACCTGTATTAGTGCATTCCTTCAGGAGCATAGCACAAAATGTACAATGGCGTTTGAAAAAAACATTAAATAACTACTTTCAACTTATCATTAAGAATATCTCATAAAAATCCACATGCATCCAAAATATAGAAATATATTGAATATAGGAAACTTCATTAATTGACTAGATGGCAGCAGAACAGCTGTGGAGAAAGGGAACTCAGTGAAAGAAAATACACCAAAATTGTCTGGGAGTAATTAATATGATGAGAGGACATAGTCTTAATCTCACCAGGAAAGGTTTAGGTTGGACATTAGGAGGAATTTCTTCTCAGAAGGGGTGATTAGACATTGGAATGGGCTGCCCAGGGAGGTGGTGGAGTCACCATCCCTGGAGGTGTTTAAGGAAGGACTGGACTTGGTGCTGAGTGCCATGGTCTGGTTGACAAAGGTGCTGTTCTGTCTTAGGTTGGACTCGGTGATCTCAGAAGTCTTTTCCAACCCAATTGATCCTGTGATTCTCTGAATTAAACCCGAAGTACAGCGTCAACAACAATTTACCTGCTTTTCATAGCTCACAACAAAGTCTCCCTGAACTTCACATTCCCAACAACCATCCTTTTCAGATTTCACGAAAAACAATATAATCAGTTGCATTTCGGAATAATCCCGTATTAAGCCCGGGAGCCGATCGCTTCTCTTTATATGGTTTAAGATGTTTGGAAGATTTGCTATTAAGATGTTTGGGAGATTTGCTATTAAGATGTTTAGGGGATTTGTTGTTAACCCCGCAGCGGTTCCGAAGCGCTCGGAGCCATCCCGTCGGCGGCAGGGACGGCTCGTTGCCCCTGCGAGAGCCGCGGGGTGCTGCTGTGCGGGGACACGGTGGCGCAGTGGTGGCATTTGTCACATCCCCGGCGGGCACAGCCGCCCGTGTCACCCCTCGCCCCCGGCCCCCCGGGAGGCGGCTCTGCCCGCCCGCCCCGCCCGCGCTCACGGGCGGCGCGCTGCGGAGAAGGGAGGGGAGGGGGAGGGGAGGGGAGGGGGCCGGGCCGGGCCTGCCTCACATGACCGCGGCCGCGATGGACGCGAGCCGCCCGCGGGCACGGCCGGCACCGGCACAGGTACGGGGGACACCAGGGATGTGTTCGCGGCGGGGCCGCCCCCGCTCCGTGCGCTGCCCGCCGCTGCCCGCCCGGGCGGTCGGGGCCGCGCTCCCCGCCAAAACCGGCGGCAGCGCCGCCCGCCTCCCCTCCTCGCCCCGGGGCGGGCGGGCCCGGCTCCGGGCGGGGGCTGCCCGCGGCGGTGCGCTGAGGGTCCCGTCCCGTCCACGGTGGGCTCTGGCCCCGCGGGGTTGAACCGGAGCGCCCGGGCCGGGGGGGTTTGTACCTGCCCGCGGAGGTCGCCCCGGTGCCCGGCTCGGTGTCCGCGGGCGATGAGCTCCCCGGAGCGCTCCTGCGGGGCTGGACGCGGGGCCGGGCGCGGTCCTGAACTTCTCCCGTGGGGAGTCACGCGGCCGAGCGCTCCCTGCGCGCCGGGGACACTTCATGTGGCCCCTGGTCCCCGCCCGCCGAGCTGGACCCGGGCACGGTGGAGCCGTTCGGCAGCGGGGCAGTGGGGCAGACCCCGCGCCGGCCCGAGCGGAACATCCAGCCGGGAAACGCTGGAGTTTTGGGAGCGCGCAGCTGGATCTGGGATGGAGAAACTTCGCAGCCAAGCGCTGCCAGCGCTTGTTGCGAAATGATAGATGGAGGGAGCTCCTGGGTGAATTGAGGGAATAACATGTTGGACTCCTTAACGTTTAGACTGAGAGAAACTTTTAGAGGGAAACAGGGTAATAATGTTCTCTCAAGTTCTCTTTAAAGTGGCTGAAGTTTTGTACCTGCTCCGTGCATAGTGTGTTTTTTTTTTTCTCAGTTTTGAAAAGAAATTGAGTAGAAGTTACTAGTAGGTGAGCCTAATGCAGGGAAAAATGGTTTGGTTGGATTATATTCAGGATCCAGTGGGTATGCTTTTGTTAGGCCTGTGATGCTCCTGATGCAGATAATGCTTATAAATAAATTATTTTGGAATATTTCTGTCCAGGACTGATGTAACATATTGAGCAGCAGCCTTTGTGGAAAAAATGTCCTACTGTACCAAAGAGAGAGCTTGTTCAGGTATGTCTGTTCTGGATTTACCATCTGCTTCAGGAGCCTTATAGAGATAAAACAGTTGTCTCCAAGTGGAGTACTGATCTAATTAACTTCTGGTGATGGTGCTTCTGTACCTGTCTAATCTACTCAGCCCTATTTAGAAAACTTGGCTTTCTTTGACAACGATTATATGGTGAGCACTGAGAGGAGGTGTCTAATGGTTTTATGTAAAGAAAAATAATGCTGTGAACGCAGGAATGTTTTTATTTTAAGCATCATGATGAGAGGTCAGAGATCTTGGAAGTTTCACACCCATGTGTAATTTTTTTGGAGATCAGCAGCTCGTCAGTGAGTATTTTGGGAGAATCTGAATCTCCAGAGTAAAGATAGTCCTGGCAGGGATCGTTAATGCCCATCTTGGACAGCACAGACAAATGCTGTCTTTTTGATTTTGCAGAGTTAAAAGTACTTTAGCACAATCAAGAGAGAGAAGAAAAAAGGATAATGTCTAATACATTAAAGTCAGTTAATGTTGCAGAGTTGCTTTTATTGACTTTTCTTTCCTTTTGCTTCCATTTGAGTGTTTTGCAACGACTGCAGGGAGCTAATCCAGGTGTGTTGGCTGGGGAGGGAGGGGGGGTGTCTCTTTTTCTTCTGATGGTAAATCTTTAACTGTGTGTGCAGCCTGTGGAGGGCCTGGTGGAGAGGACTCTACAGTATGATTTGCACATAAATAGTCTGATTTCCCCAACAGTCTTCAAGTTTTATGGGTTGGTGCATGTAGATGGAGAAAAATTTACCAGTTACAGACATGTGGAACTGGTAGAAAAGGACGGGAGCTTTGATAATTACCTTTCAACAGTATTTGGGATGTGAATGAGCTGCTTCTACCTGTGAAATGTGTGAGAAGACCACTGGGAGGCTGAAGTGTGTGGAGTGACAATGCCGTTTCTTTAATGCTTAAATGCTGACATCGAGTTTTCCCCCAGTGTAACTGGGAGGGTGAGAAACAGGCAAGGAAGATGAGAAGCAAAACAAAGATAAACCATTTCTTCTGATGGGATGTTCTTGACCTGTGTAAGGACAGATGGTTGTGGAAATTTGCCAGTTCTGTAGTCAGGCTAAAATGTCCTTGTACAAATTTCCCAGAGAACAGTTATATGGGTTGTTGCTTGCTGGGTTACCATTTTGGGTGTGAATTTTTACACTTCCAGCCTCTTTGTGAGAAATGATAGTTTAGAAGTCTTTCACTGTGAGCTGGGATTGTGCCCTAGTGAGGATTTGACTTTTTGTCTCTGTAATCCTTGGGCACATTCCTTCATGGACTTTTCTCTGCTAATCCTGTTATTTCTTTAAAGTGTGTAGCTCCATCCCACTTTACTGTGTGTGCTGCATCTGAGGACTGTGGCTCACGACTGACTTGTGAATGGAATGTGTTCCTTGTATTCCCAGACTTGGGAAATCAATTAATGAGTTGATCTAACAGCACAGATCAAAAGAGCAGGGTGCTAGGCTTAAAGGTAGTTCTTTACACACAGTAAATCTGTGTTACATTGGAAGGGGGTAACTTGCTGTTGGGTTTTTTTTTCTGCTGGAGTGTGTGACTGTGATATTCTGGGAAGCAGTTGGAGGCCTACAGGGGAATGCAGAAATGCAGGTGCTTTCAAAATATTATTAAATAAAGCTATAGCCTCAGCTATTTTTGAGCTGTGCCATTGCTTCTCCTTTTCAATTTTAGAAGCACCAAGTGCTGAATAACAATCTTAAACTTAGTTGGAAAAAAACCCAAAACAAATAACCAGCAAAAAAACCCCTCCAGAAATGAAAACCAAATTACCCTCAATATCTCAAAAACAAAGGAAAATATAAAAACTTAACCAACCAACCAACCAAAAAAAAAATCCCCAAAACCCCAGACCAGCTAGTGCAGGGTACATATTTGACATCTGCACTGAGAAAGCTGTGGTGATGGTTTTCAGTTGTTGGTTTTGTTTTTTTTTTAAGGAGAAAAACAAAATGTTGGAGCCTGCTTTCCAACATCTAATTTTATGATAGTATGTGTGTTACTTTATCTTGTCTTGTTTTGGTATTGGAAAGCTTGTATTTACAAGGGAATTGTTGGGAAGGAGAAGGAAGGGCACTCTTAATTAGAGTGAAGCTAAATATAATTACTTTTCTTGTACCCAGTTAGAAATACAGACCTGCCTTCCATGTTGAACTCAGAGCTGTGGAGCACTTGGCTTTGTTACATAGACTGATTCCTTTGCTTTGCTCCTTTCTGAATAAGAATGCCATGGTTTTAAGTTCCTTAAAAAACCCCAAACAAGTTGCATACAGTGGTCTCAAAAAATATGTAAAGCCTTTAATAGGAACAAAGTTTTGTTTGCCCTTTTTTTTTTTCTTTTTTTTTTTGTGGGACTTCTGTTTTTCTTTCTGTGTTTTTAGGGAATTTCAAATTATGTAAGATTTTAAAAAAATAAAACGAAGAAGGGAATCTATTTGAGTTTGTAGTTGAAATCTGCACCAGCTTTCAGAGAGGCTGATGTGGACAGTGGATTCTGGAATTATGGAGGAATGTGTTTGACACAATAAGGGGGAAAGGCATTTCCATAATTCCTGAGGCTTTTCATGAGAAGACAGAAAGGAAAGGGAAATGCTGATGAATGATATTTACATTGCTGCTTTAGAATTCCTGGCCCAGGAGTTTGTAGTGGAGCCCTCATTTTTTCCAGGGAGAAATCTGAGGTATCTGTGTATAAAACCAGTTTTTGTACTCTTGTGTGTTTCCTGTGGGTTGGATCCCCTCTGCTCCCCACAGCTGTGGTCTGTGAGGACGGAGAATAAATCTTAGCTGTTATTCCTAAAGGTTTTGCTTCCTTTCAAACTCCTTCCTCCTTCTAGAAAATATGCTGCTAATGTTACAAGTAATTCTCTGGCACCATCTGCTTAATCGTGTCTGATAAATTTATCTGATTAGCACCTGGTGTAATAAAGAGTTTGTATCAGCCATCAGTAAAATGGAGATAAGGCCTCCAAATCTGATTGACGGAGCTTAAATAGGGAAGGGAGATCAGTGGCAGTGATTTGCTCCTGAGCTTCCAGCCCTGGCATTGCTCCTCTCTGCTGGATGTGCTTCCCTGTAAAACCTCAGTGCAGCTGACCAGATACTTGGAATTCTACTCTGGCTTTCACAAATGCATGATATTAGGAATTTACGTGGAGGAAACTGGTAACGGTGGAGGGCAGGTTGGTGCCTGGTTGTATCACTGGAGTAATGAACGTCAGGTGCTAACTGAGGTGTGAAATACGTGGTCTAAAGTGGAGAAATTTTCTATTTCAGTTGTTCTCTGGGTGAGTTTCTCAACTCCCTTCAGTCCAAAGGCTACCTGACTTGGCACAAAAAAAAAAAAAGAAAGTATTATGCAGTGTTTTCGTTGCTGTTTTCTTTTACGATGTAACAACAATTAGGCCATGCTTTGAATGCTTCTTCAGACTTTTATTTCTTGTCATCTTGTTGTCTTCTTGTTTGCATATGTGTATTTATATGTATTATTTTTAACTTTTATATTAACTTGTTTTCAGTTATATCAGTCCACTTCCTGATCTCTTATTGACAACAGATTGAGAAACTGCTGTAGGAAGAGCGTAGCTTGCAGGAAAAAACTGGTTTTTATTTTTGTCTGCTTCCCAGTGTTCCAGGGGACCATTCCATACCTCGTTTCTGTATTCACTTGCTGCTCCCTGTATATAAACTTCACTAGATAATGATCTGCTGAAACCGAAGGGAATGTTTTCAAAATTAGCTGTTCTCCAGCAGAGTGCGTGATGGGAAGCGTTAAGTGTTCTGTTACAATGCATGTAAATCCTTTTACTGGTTGAACACAGGAGCTCATACCAATGAGTTCCCACTATTATCCACCATTCCTGGCCAGGGCTCTTGAGGCTGTTCTGGAATAGGCTGTTTAGTAAGTAGAATGAAAAATGGGCTGAAGAATAGCTCCAGTATATATTGCTCTGTAGGGTTAGTGTTAGTGCCACGTTAAGTGTTTCCTAGGACAGGTTAACAGCTGTTCCAAAGTCATCTTATTGTGTTATCAGACCAGAGTCTGAGGGTGTAGATTCAGTCTGAGTAGCTGTCTTGTTGATAGCAGACACGCTGAGATTATTAATTAAACAGTAATTATTCAAACTTGTTTGCATGGTTGTCTGGTTTGTGTGATTTCACACGTTTAGACAAGGTTGAGGTGTAAAGAAGCTACAGAATATTTCAGGAAGAGCCAAATGTGTGAGCTGCTGATAAAGAGAAGGTATTTCCTGTAGGTGAATTTTAGAAAGCAAATTTAGAGAATAACTTGATGAAAACTGGAGAAGAATTACCAAGAAAAGAGCAACATGGCTGAATTGTCAAAGAAATGTGGAGTCTTGTCTGGATCTCTGGGGGGCTTCACTCTGTAGATGTCTTAGGGGGTAATGTGGGTTCAGATCACTGTAATGAACCTGAGAGTCCTCAGCATCACTTTGGCTGATTGTGCTGCAGGTTCTGGGTGTTACAGATGAAACACTGAGGGTTTCATGGTTCATCCAGTATTATCTTTTCTCCTGATACCTGTCTTTTGCCACTGGGGTTTCAGTAGTTTACCAGACAGTGCCGAGCCCAAGGTCAGGGACCAGTTTATGCTGTGAAAGCACTGCTTTGTTGGTTGTCCAGCAGAAGGATGGGAAACAGAGACAGTGAATCAATAGGCAGGAGAAGGTTGTGTCAGTACAGATTGGCACTGCTCTTAGGGAAGAAATTGGGGTGTATTTTGAGTAACCTCTCCTGGGAAGGCCAGCTTGGAGCAACTCCCTCTGCAGTGTGAGCCAGTGTTGAGCATCACAGAGGGCTCTGGAATTCTCTGTGTGTGTGTGCCTTGGAGGAGTAACAACATCTGCTGTGTCATGTTGCACTTCATTGCTGTGTCTTGAGCAGTTAAACCCAAGAATTACAAGGGTGCACACCCAGAGAACCTCTGCTCTGGAGGTCCAGGATGCCTTGTGCTTTCCATAGTTCTTTTGTGTGTATTTTTGACCCTTCTTCTTGATACTGTGATTTATTGCACCTTGCTGCTCCATGAAAGGTCAGGCAGGCAAGGATTTTTCTGCACAAGAAAATCTTCTGCCTTGAATTTTCTTTCCTCCTTTTTCTTTCAGTTCAGCATCTCTCTGAAAAGTGGCTGTACAGGTGTTATCACTTTATCCAGCAGTGTCCTATGTCAACATTGAATTAGCTTGCCTTATTTTACTGCAAATTTCTGGCAGGTAGCTGGAAATTTTTAGGAGCTGCTGCATAGGTGGGGTTAGCAGGTGATATATATTAGTCTAATAAAGCAGAGGTGTTAAGACTTGCTTCTCTGAGTCACATTAGCAGGCATCTGAAGCCTGATGAGACATGTGGAATAAGGTCATTTGTCCTGGATTTGATTTCCTTAAGCCATTTTGTGGAGCAAATAATGAAGAGTCTGATGCTATGTATCTGAGGAACTGAAGATTATCTGTGTTCCCCATTTATCAGGGCCTGGAGCACATGAAGGAGCAGGTGGGAAATCCTTATCAGGAGGAGGTCAGAGTTTCAAGTTAAGGATATGAGTTCTTATCTTCCCCGAGTTTCTCTCTTACAAAGTTTACAACTTTTTGAACTATGTATCAAAGCTTAAAGAAATGCTTATTGCTTCCATAGTGTTACTGTCTTTTTGTGTTCTCAAAACTGTAGATGCATTTAGGAACTTCTCCCAGTGGGGCAAGGAAGGGATGATGAATCCTACCTGGCTTTTCTGGGTACCTTTTCATCAGTGGATTTGACTGAACTCAGGTATGGGCTCAATAGGTTCCAGGGTTATACCCACATCTTTCACACTGATTCTTATGTGTGGAATGGGTGGAAAAAAAGGATTGCTTTGAAAACTAATGTGAGCTTAGTTTACAGCCACACAGTAGTGTCGTTATGAAGTCAAACTGAGATAATGGACTCTGGTCAGTCACTTGATTATTCTGAATGATCAGCTTTGCCCCTTCTTTGATGTAGTTTGTCCTCTGGGGCCACATTCTTAAGACCTATCTTTTTTTGACTTTGCATCTAGCAGAGGATCAGTTAGACTCTCTCTATGCAAAGCTGCCTAGCTATGATTGAATTCACCCTTGAAAATTGTTTGTTTTCTAGCTGTGAGCAGTGGAATAGGTTTGTTTGAAAGATTTTGCCACAGCTTGCTGTGATTGAGGAATTGTTGTGTTGGTAGCCCTTGTTAGGAACCCTTTTCCCCTGATCTTGAACTTGAGCATGTTGACATAGTAAATTATTGTAATTCTCGCTCACTGTAGCATAGTGTCAGAGAGTTTAATAAAATTATGCCAAATGAAGTGTCTCCTTCCTTTGTAATGACATGCAAAATTAATGGATTAAATTTCTGCAGCGCAGTAAAATGACACATTTTTCTTTCCTTCCATGAGTTGTTCTAGGCAGGATCCAAAAGTGCTGAGCTAGGGTTTCGTTCATTTTGGCAGATCCTGCTGTGGTGGGAGCTGGACAGACAGGAAATGCAAGGCCTCTTAGCTGATTCACAGAACAAATTTGGCCTGTGATTCTTTGCTTAGTAGGGATGTCTTTCTGACTCGATATAATTGGTGTTGCTCCTGGGTGTTGTGAGGAGGGAGGTACCAATGTCTTGAACGTGTGTGAAGCAGCATAACCTCCTGGGGGAGTGGCCTGGCTGGTGTTCTGGTTGTGTTGCACCACTCTGGGAGCACCAAGCAAGGGAACAGAATATTTTAAGGCTACTTCTTTTACTGTACCTTATCAGGTCTACTGTTTTTTTCCCCTTTTTGTCTTCTAGATTTGGCAAAGCCTCCAGTAAATGAACCAAGGGAACCGGAACAGTTTCTAATGCAGATGCCCCAGGGAAATCCACTGCTGCTTTCCCACACCCTACAAGAGCTATTGAGCAAGGATAGTGTGCAGGTGGAGCTTATACCTGAGAAGAAGGGCCTTTTCCTGAAACATGTGGAATATGAGGTTTCCAGCAAGGTAATGTGAACAAGCACTGGGCTCTGTGAGAGTGTATCCTCTTTACAGTGTCTGTGCAGTTGCTACTGGCAAAGTCTTGACTGATTTGGTAGGTGTGTTGGGTGATGCTGGTTGTAGGTTCTTCTCTTGGTATAGGAGAAGATTGAAGATGATTTGCCTTTTCCTATTTGTAGTGCAGCCAGTGAAATATGTCTCCAGTATCTTCTGTGTGTTTTTTTCCAAGGAGGAAACATGTCCTCTTCCAAGCAGACCATGTGTGATTGACACTTCCCAGACCACCAAAACATCAGTTATTGAGTAGTGCTTGAACTGTTCTAGTCATCATTGTATGTGTTTGGTGACACATTTGGGTCACTTGTCTGCAGTGATTTTTGGGGCTTTAGGTTTTTTAGGGTGATGTCTCTAAGTTTGTCAAAGACTTGTGTGGGGAAAGGGCAGACATGGTGAATGCTTCTGTGGGCTTTCTAGGAATGGATGTTTATTTTTGCCTGTGATTTCAGGGCACAGGACTCAGTGACCCTGGTGGTCCTGCAAGGTTTTGAATTTAGGAACCCATGACTGATTCCTTTCAGTCGCTGTCATGTCTCCTGTGGCTGTGGCTGTAGAATGATGCTGCCTCAAAAAGAAGTGTAGCTTGGCCTTGAGCTTCATCTGAGATTCTACAGCACAAACCAACATCAGATTTCAGAGCAGACTGAAGGGAGGCCCTTGGGGCTGTGTCTGTTGGGCTCCAGTTGTGTGTCTCATTGCTGTTTTTTGGCATAGTGCCGCTGTAAGTGGTGGATGACGTGCAGTGCAAATGTAGTGGGGATGAGTAGAGGGCTCTGTAGTCTTTCCTATTAGTGGTTGAATCTGTAGTAATAGTGTGGGGGGGGTTGTGGATTATTTATTTATTGTTTTTAGAGGATTTCTGCCTCCTAAATGTCTTGTTCTAGCTGCTACTTAACTCCTTTGGGAATGAGAAAAGAGTTTCTTTGGCCTCTTCTACATATTGATCTAAGAAATGCAGCTTGAAGGCCTAAGGTTTTAAAGGAACTTTCAGTCTTTGTTTATAGCTCTAACATCAGTGTGAGGTCTCTCCTCTTGTGAGGTTTAATTAAAACATCAGGCATTTGGGTTGAGTAGTAGCTTAACATGGTCTAAGACTGTTTTGCCACCTCTGGATTTAAAACTGATTTAGAGAAAGATCCTAAGAACTGGAGCTCAGAGACTTGCAGTACTTCAAGAAAAGAGCTCTCTAGAGCACTTTAAAAGTGTCAGCACTCCTTCCCAATGTTCTGTCTAATTTGGAAGACCAGAGGGTTTGAGGGGGTAATGCTATGGAACCACGGCAGATTTAGGGATATTTGCAATTTTTTGGGAAACACCTTCCTCTCCACTTTGTAGTCTCTTTCATCTTGTGTGTGAATAAAAGCAGACTTATGTTTTTAACTGGAAGTCTTATTCTCAAAAGGACTGTATGAGGTAGGCTGGCCCGGCTCGACACCAAGTGCCCACCAAAACTGCTCTGTCACTCCCCTTCTCAGCTGGGCAGGGGAGAGAAAATGCAAAAAAAGGCTCATGGGTTGAGATAAGGACAGGGAGAGATCACTCTCCAATTGCCTCATGGCCAGTCCAAGGGCTGCAGGGGCACAGCTGTCTCACGGTGGGCTGCACCCTGGGCTGCAGGGGAACCTCAGCTCCGGTGCTTGGAGCACCTCCTGCCCCTCCTTCTGCACTGACCAGGGGGGCTGCAGAGCTGGTACTCTCACATATTCTCACTCCTCTCTCTGGGTGCAGTTTTCTTGTGCATTTTTTTTTTTCTCCAATACATTATCCCAGAGATGCTGCCACCATCACTGATAGGCTTGGCCTCATCCAGCAGCAGTTCCCTCCTGGAGCTGCCTGGCATTGGATCTCTCAGACACAAGGGCAGCTTCTGGCACCTTCTGATAGAAGCCACCTCTGTAGTCCTCCAGCTACCAAAACCTTTCCATGCAAACCCAATGCACATAATCAAGTGATGGCTGCTTTTAATCTCCTCCATCCTTCCCACCACAAGGCCTCTAACGAGAAATAGGTGGTTTCTGCAATCTCTGGTTATGATTTCTTTCTTTTCTTCCTTTTGCATTTAGGGCAGCTGATAGCAAAAAAAAAAAAAAAAAAAAGTAAATGCTGCTGCTGTCTAACCTGTGAATTGACTTATTCTCCCCTTTCCTTAATTGCAGAGGTTCAAATGCTCAGTCTACAGGCGATACAATGACTTTGTGGTGTTCCATGAGATGCTGCTCCAGAAGTTCCCCTATCGCATGGTGCCGGCACTGCCGCCAAAGAGGATGCTGGGAGGTAAACCTGGGTCTTGCTTTTTGAGTAGAGGGGTCTTGGTCAAGGTGATAGTGTTAAAAGTAAATGTTTAAAAGTAAATGTTGAAAGTCTTCGCTTCTGCTTGGCTCAGAAAACAAGTTTGACGTTATAATACACAATCTTGAGGTGTGAATTGTTGCCATCCTGGAAATTCTTATAGGTGAGATATTGATGTAAAATTTCAGTGAGGTTTCTTCCTGTGGAATGACTTTCCTAATAAGATTTTAGGTGTAATTCCACACAAGAGCACGGCGGAGCTGCAGGTATTGGTTTTTAGAAAAACCTGTTATGATGATCATTGTTTAGTGGTGGACTTGGCAGTCTTAATTTAACAGTTGGATTCAGTGATCTTAACGTTCTTTTCCAACTTAAATGGTTCTATGATTCTGTGATCTTTTTAGCATAACCAGAAACTGAAACCTGAGGCTGGAATCAGTGTCAGGTCATTCAAGTACACTTTAGCTGTTAGCCTAAAAACCAGTATCCCAAGACTGAAGCATATCAAAGCTCCTTCAGGAACATTTTTCATTAATCTCAAATATTGACACCGATTTTAAACATTTAATATTTCAAACGTTGCATAACTGCATAAAATCCCGTCTTGTTTAATACTTAATCTGTGAAAGAACAAGCTTTTCACTCTCTCCTCTCTTGCCCACGGCACTAAGCTCGCTGTGTTTCAATAAATAATTGATTTCAGTTGAAGAGTCTGTGCATTGCTACAATAATTGGTAAGCAGTGAGCAGAGCAGGGTGTATAGTGAACTGGAAGACAGCAAAATCCTGGCACTGAAAAGCTCCAGTGGCCTTATGTTCTTGTGATGGAATGTGAATTGTGAAGACCTTTCTTTTGGGGTTGCGAAACCCATCCGTTGAATTGAACCTGATTCAGTGTTCTCAGCCAGAGGTTCCAGAATTTCCACTTCATGCAACACCTGTGAGCAAAGCAGCCTTCTCTGATTAATCTCAGTGGAGAGAGGATGTTTGAAAGAAGTTACCAATATATATATAATTTGTCAGTCAACTGTTATTTCCTTGTGTTGCCACTGTGTTGATATTTCTGTGCATTCACCAGTGCATTTCTTCCCATGCATATCATAAGTTTAAGAAAAAAAACGATAGGATTAGTTCCCAGACTGTGCTAGGAGACCAGTTCTAATACAGTGCAAAGCTGTGATGAGGCAGAGAGTGCTAATTGCCTTTAGTCCAGCGACTCTGCATGTAGAAGAACTGTGGAATTGGGTTTCATGGGAACTGCAAACAGGAAAAAGGAAATGGAGTGGGTAGTTCTTGTTTCTGAGCAGGTTAATGGACTGACACAGGATTTGATGGATTAGCACAGATGTGTGACTCTTGCAACTTCCAAGTCCCAGAGCCGGATGGACAAAGCCCCGTGCTTTGTCCTTGGTGTGCTCCTCTGCTGAGTTACACTGATCCTGATGCTGGTCTGCTCCCCTCCTTCTGTCGTGTGAAGGAAGATTGTTCACCTGCTCTGCTCCTTTTGGAGGACAGCAGCCAGCTGGGGCAGATCCTGTGGGAAGTGTGTAGGTTACTTCAGAAATGTCCACGTTGGCTGAAGTGTGAGCAAAGCCAAACCAAGATCTGCAGCCACAATGACAGAAAAAGGAATTGGTGGTTGTTACTGTACTGAGGATCACTAGTGAGAGTCCTCACAGCCAGCAAACTGCCAGCTTAAAACTGAGGCAAAAGAGTAATAACCTTTCATGATATGAGAGCGTTGGATAAGAGCATTCCTGTAATTCCCTTCTATGCTGCTTTCTTTTCCTTCAGTCTTTAGTTTAATTTTTTATCATTCATCGTTCCTGAAAAACTCCAGGAACTTTGATTTACTGCCTTTCTGCAGTATTGCCAGATTGAAATTCTTCTTGTTTCAGCAAGATGAGCAGAATTCTTTTAGTTTGACAAGTAAAGGCTGTGGATGGATGTACTGCAGATTGCTGTGCAGGTCTTCCAAAGTGCTTTCTGACATCTTGCATGAAAGAGATGGATTCTGATCCTAGTATCCATCCAGTATCCTGATGGATACTGCCAAACAGACTGGGATCCCCTCTGCAGACCAGCTGTGAAGTTGATTCAGAGGAAGAAGAATCTTTGTAGGCCCACAGTTTGTAAGTGGAAGTTTCAGGCCTTAGGTTTGGTTGTTTATCCTGCTTACCTTCCCCACCCTGTGGAAATAACCCCACACAGGTATATATGCTGAATTTTGGTAAGATATAAAGAACCACCTGATGGAATATTTATTCAAATGGTCAATCTAAAAGATTGTTTTTGGGAGCTGACAGACTGTAGGTAACCTCTCCTTGTTTTTGTTGCAGTGCTCAAGCAAGGGTTGTAAGTACAAGGAAGTTATTGGCCTGAGTGCTTTTCTCTTTCACAGCAGCTGTAATGAGAGGTGCATTAATTGAAATTTTGTGTTTCTTCCTGTAGCTGACCGAGAATTCATAGAGTCGAGGAGGAGAGCGCTGAAGCGTTTTATAAACCTGGTGGCTCGACACCCCCCTTTCTCAGAAGATGTGCTCTTGAAACTCTTCCTGTCATTCAGTGGCTCAGTGAGTGTCTGTTAGCAATAGTCCTGAGTTTGCATGTCTGCCTGTAACTGCTTCACTGGGCACAGGGTTCAGAATTGCTTCTGACCTACATGTTTTTGCTCCCTGTGACGAGGAGAATTTTCTCTCAGTAGGTGTTTCTACAGCTGGAAAGTGGAAGGTAATTTCACTCAATGCCAGGAGGATAGTATTTTGAAAATTTTATCTGTTCTTAAGGGAATACAGATTATGCTTTTCCTTAAATTAAACCTAACCTGGGTAAATCTGTACGTGTCTTACTGTTGAGATGCATCTGAGACCTTTGTTACTTAGTTCTTTCATGCTGATTTGATTCTGTATTTTCTCTAGGATGTACAGAATAAGCTAAGGGAGTTGGTCCAGGGAGTAGGAGATGAGTTTATGACCTGCAAATTAGCCACCCAGGCCAAGGTATGTATAGGAATTTTTTGCAACATATTATTCTGGTTTGAATGGCTCTGTTCTCCTGGTGGATCAGTTATGGCATTTGTGGAGTGATGGACACCTTAGGTAGGACACAGTTGTTTACAGAGTTTGAAGAACTTGTAACTTTATCAAAAAGATCAAATAAACATTTGACTCTCAAGGTCCTGATATTTGTAGCTAAATGCTGGTTCATGAATATGATAAAGATTAAACAATGAATCCTGCTCAGAACATGTTTCTCAGCAATTACTTGTACTTGCATAACAAACACATGCACAAATTGCACAATTTAAAAACTAATATCTAGATGGATGTCTTTCCCAGTGTTCATGCCCTCATTCTGTCTGTCTGCTTCTCCCTGTGGGAGAGCAATTTGGACTGTTAGAGAGAAGTTAACTATAAGTTCTCCATATATCTGTTTATCCCAGAGATTAGTGCTGTGACAAGTTTTAAATCTACTGTGTTCATTGAGCAATTTTAAAGCAAGTTGTTGTTCAGGTTCCTGCAGTGCTTGCAGGAGGTTTTGCAACTGGAGCTTAGTTCAGGTTTTTACCAGTGATACACTGGTCAAAAAGAGCTGAACTTTCAGTTCATTCTTGACTTTACTGGGCTGGGAGTTACCAGTAGGATTAGGTTAGAACTTGTGAGCTTGAAACCTCACAACCCCTGTTTTAACTGCAGAGTAGAATTGCAGATCTTGTCAACTCTGTCTACACTGGGTATTTGAACCTCTTTATGCCTCTGAAAATTAGGGCTATTTGTGTGACATCTGACTTGGACAACTGAATTGGAAAGGTGATCTCTTCAGGGTTGTTACAGCGTGGCGTGAGGGAGTGAGCACTTTTTCTCTGCAGACTGTGGTGTGCCTCTGATTTACCCACCAGTAACCTCTCTGTACTCCTTCAGGACTTCCTCCCATCTGACATACAGGCCCAGTTTGCTGCCAGCAGGGAGCTCATCAGAAATATTTATAACAGCTTTTATAAGCTTCGCGACCGTGCGGAGAGAATTGCTTCTCGAGCCATTGATAACGCCTCCGACCTGCTCATATTTGGGAAGGAGCTCAGGTAGGTTTGGAGGAACAGGCTTTGCTAATAGGAACATTTCTACTGCTGTTTCAGAACTCAAAACTCTTGTAAGGCCTCCAAGCTGGTGAAAATAGGTATTCCAGTGCATGCTGCAGGTCATAATCAATTTTTCCTACTATAAAAAAGGAAATGCACACTTACCATTAAGGCTGCATTCCTTAGAACATGAGGAAACAAAATATAAATACCTTGGCATTCAGGTACTGGTTTTATTGTCTCTCTCCCCAGTAAGTGCACAATTAACTCTGCATTTGTGTTGGGGCAGTAGCAGCTCAGTGCTGTGAGCTGTTTAGACAGATTTGAAACTCTTAACTGCTCTCTGCAAATAAGTTTATCTGCTTAGTGGAATTTGTCTCCTAGATGTGACTGTTACTTATCTCCTTTCAGTGCTTTGGGCTCAGACACTACCCCACTTCCTTCCTGGGCTGCTTTGAATAACAGCACATGGGGGACTCTGAAACAAGCCTTGAAGGGTCTGTCTGTTGAGTTTGCACTTCTGGCAGATAAGGCTGTGCAGCAGGTGAGTTCTTGACTTTTGTCTTTTTCTTTTTTTTCTTTTTGTAACACAGAGGTGGTACATTGCTGCCCTAAACTTCATCTTTAATCATGAGCTCTGTGGACATAAGCTCTTCAAGAGTTAAGAAGGAGATGGTGATTCAAACTTTCGTCCTCAACCACCAGCCTGCTTGTTCAAGCTTGAATGAAATACCTGGACTGTGTTTAAATGGGAAAAAAAATATAACTGGCAAGGGAAAGGAGGGAAAAACCTGCTTTCTTTCTTAATTTTAAATGATTATTGCACACATTAAGTTGTACTGCTTCAGTGAGCTGTCCAAGAATCCTGTGTTCTGTCTTACTAATCTGCTACAGAGAATCCAGAATAAGTTATTTCTGAATCAAGTTTTGAAGTTCATGTACTTAAATATTACATGAGAGTGATTCAGACAGAAGTATCATATTCCTGTGTAAGTGTGCAGTGTGGTAATGACTGTCAGAATAATGTGAGAAAACGACAGTCTGGAAAGGAAAAGTAATAATTTTGTCTTCACTGCTCTTCATCTCATTGTGTTAAAACACTGAGCAAGCTTTTGTAGATCAGTCAGACCAGGTCTTTTTCTCCAGAGTTTATGCTCCAGAGAGCTCTATTGATACAGGAAGAAAAGAGAGTATTTTGTAAAATAAAAAAACTAGTAGTTAAATTTGGCTTGGTGTCTCATCTCTGCCTTCTGATGCATGAACTATTATGGGGAACATGCAGGTATTCAGAGCTTTAATGGATTAGTTATCTTGTAAGAAGGGAAGATGAAAGATTGGAGGAATCTGCAAGAGCAAGAAATTCCAGGCAGAGTGTGCTGAAAGGACTGACATGCAGGGCTGTGAAACCAACTCCTCTTGTTATAGTGATCAGTCAATTGGAAAAGCTGTTCCTGCCTCAGTCAGGTCTTTGTTCTGCACACTGAAGACTAAACACACTCCAGTGCCATCTGAAAGCTTTTTGATGCAGTTGTGTAAGCACCAATGTGCCCTGGAGAACGCAGCGAGAGCCTGCGTGGTGTGAGGAGGTGAAGGACTGGGATGTTGGTTCTTGCCAGGCTTACGTAAAATGTACTTTTTCCTTGTTTTCTAGGGTAAACAGGAAGAGAATGATGTGGTGGAGAAGCTGAACCTTTTCCTGGATTTACTCCAGTCCTATAAAGTGAGCTCTGCTGTTCTTCTGCCAACGAGAAAGTTGTTCAGAGCAAGCTTGTGCTTTTTAGAGGGTGTAATGCCAACTGGATGGAAAACTGTCTGGGAGGCCAGTTCAGAGGCAAACTGGGCATCTGGCAGAGGGAGGGGAGTGGCTGTTGGCCATAACCAGCTCTGCAGCCTTACTGATCAGCTCGGCTTGTGATGAGAACTTGCCAAAGAGCAAACCCTGCAAGGAATTTCAAAATACAAATGCTTGAACTATATGGATCAGCTAACTTTTTATTTTCAGATTTGGCTGCTTCTGAGTCAAAGCAGTGAACTAGATCACTATTGGTTTGCTCATGGAGATATGAACCGAGTTACAAATTAAAGAATTTTTGTTAATACTAATCTATGATCAAAGGTACTTCTTAGAGAAGCACCTACTGAAACTGTATGAGGCAGCCTCTCCTGACATTCCCAGGCCTGGACTGAGATAGAAGGACACTGGCAAGCTCTTACCACAGTTAATTGCCTGCACTCAATTTTGAGAAGGTCAAGAAAAGATAAGAGGCCTGATAAGATCCAAAGTGTTGGCAGAAGTGATGCTCCAGGCTGCCTCTTAAGCTCACTGGTCTGGGTTCAAGCAGGTTTTTTTTTTTCTTGAATTCTAAGCTACTGGTGTTTTTTGACCCTCTTGAAAACTAAAGAACAAAAATCTGCAGCAGGGAAGTTATATAAAGCACAACCATGTGTTTGTGTTCCTGATGTACTTGGCTGTGTGTTTGCTGACTCTTGGCTTCCACTCTACCTGTTCTTTTCTTTTCCCATAAAGGACCTGTGTGAAAGGCACGAGAAGGGGGTGTTGCACAAGCACCAGCGGGCGTTGCACAAGTACAGCATGATGAAGAGGCAGATGATGAGTGCCACTGTGCAGAACAAAGAACCAGAATCAGTGGAGCAACTGGAGTCTCGGATTGTGGAGGTAGGGCAGGCTCCTGGGAGAGCAAAGGGTGGTACTGGGCTCTGTGATGGTGCTGCTCTTGTCACATTTGCAAAAAGCCATTGGGCTGAAAGGGCAGCCTGTGCTTTGGGAAATCTGAGCTACCTGCTGTGCCACATGGAAAAGGTGTTTGTTTTCCTCCACGCTTACTGCTGGCCCTTTGGCAGCACATCATTTGCAGGAGCTGTGGAAACCAGCAGTCTGCAGGGTGGAAAGTGCAGTTGCTGTTGTATCGAATGGGTCCAGGACCTGCCTTTTTGGATTTTTGATATGTGTTTGAATTGCTGGTAGGGTCAGGAATGCTCTTTTCTCCTGCTGTAAGTGAACCTCCTTGGCAGCCCCTTCCTGGCGATGCATTTCACAGAGCTCCTCTTGTTTCAGCAAGAAAACGCCATCCTGACCATGGAGCTGCGGAATTACTTCTCCCTGTACTGCCTCCATCAGGAGACACAGCTCATCCACATCTACCTGCCTCTCACCTCTCACATTCTGGGGGCCTTTGTCAACTCCCAGATCCAGGGTCACAAAGAGGTGAGTTTTTCTGGACTGTATCCTTTTCCCCAAAATATGAATGAGAATTTGAATGTATTTATTTTAACCTGTTGGCCTTCGTCCTCTAATCATCTGTCCAGCTGGGCTATTTCATAACTTAAAAGGTCACCTAAGGTCTTTCCAGTTTGGAGTGAGGATCAAGGCTGGCCTCTAACTCCTCTAAAAGACTGTATCTTCTTGCAGCAAATTGCTGTTTTTTTCTTCTTTTCTTCTTCTCTCATCAACTATCCTATGGGTAGGTGAAGAAGACCCAACCATTAAATAGCTATTCTGTAATGAATGATGTGTGTTTGCTAGATGAATCTGGTTTTTTGTGGTGCTACACAGAAATTGTATGACAAGGAACAGCTTCCTTGCTTTTGCTCTAAGAGCTCCTTTTTGTTAACCCCTAAATATGACCTTTAATATTTCCCATATACAGACTTCCTTGCATTTGTTGTGTTAGAAAAATCTCTCCTCTTTCAGCTCCCTTCCTTCCCTTCAGTGAAGGAGTTTGACCAAGGTATGGGAAATCTCCATTCCATGCATGCTCAGGAAAATGCTCAGGGACCTCCAGTAGCACCAGTCTGGAAGGGACAATCTGGGTCCACTGAACTTCCTGAAAACACTTCAGCAAATTTGTGTCGTGCTTTTGAGTACCTGAAACTGCTGCTAAAATTCAGTGTGGTGAGATTGTTACCTACCGTGTGGTCACGTCTGTTTTCTCTCCTTTTCCACTCACAGATGAGTAAAGTTTGGAATGAATTGAAGCCGAAGTTGAGCTGCCTTTTCGTGGGATCTAGCAGTATGCCAACTCCACCACTGTCACCTCCAGAGGGAAATTTCTTCTCCAGTTAATGCTCCGAGCATCCTGCATGGAGCAAGAAGGGCAATCAACGAAGGGGTGGGACCTCTACCTCCAGATGTTAAAATGAATCCTCCAAACAGCTATTTTTTATTTTTTGTTTTTTAAATACTGCTGCTTTGAGCTGCTCTCTGATTTAGACAGACTGGATGTGGGGCAGAACATATGGATATAAAGACAATCTCTTAATTTTGCAGTGCTCTGGGGCAGAGCTGATGTTCATTGTCCTGCAGACACTCTGCACAGGGTCGGGATGTGGCCTGGCACAGCGAGTGCTGCAGTGCTGTTGCTGATGCCTCTGCATCTTGTACTAACAGTCCTCCAATCATGTTTATCTGCAGCTGTGCTGACACATCTCTGCTCTGAAGTCTCTGAAGTGCTGAGATGAACGGGATAACTGAAGCACTTGCTTGTAGTGGAGATAAATTGCCTTTTACGCCTTGGAGGGCCTGTGTTAGGGACATGTGTGCTTAAGGAAAGCTGAAAGCCATCCCCCATCCCGTTGTAGGTGTCTGGATTTGATTTCTTACTGCTAGACCTTAGCACAAAATGAATGAAGTGGTTGGATTTTGTAACCCAGCTGGGCAGGGGTCAATGCTGCTGTGTAATGGGGTTCTCCCATGAGGTTGGATGGACTGTATTGTCAGTGTGGTTCCCTTCATGGTTGCAGGGCAGCCTGGGGACTTGCTCATATTTTTCAGTTTGGGGCCAAAGACAGCTGGGTTCAGGAACTCAGAGGAGTTTGCCTGGCACAAATGAGAAAATAATTAAATAAAACACTCCTTAATTGTAATCCAGTCCTACTACATGGGCAGAACAGCTACAAGGTAGCTGTTTTCTTCTGGAGGTTCTGATATCCCTCTGTTAAGTAGCTGTTCAGGTCCATTGGAGAGCTGCTGACCCAAAGGCTGGTGTTTTCTTTGGTCTAATATCAGAAGTATTCTGTTATACCAGCAGGCTGGAACACAGTGCTGATAAAGTTCATTAACAAAAAAATCAGTATTTATCAGGATGTTACTGTCATTCTTTTTCCTGGCTGTGGGTAACACTGGAGCGTGTTTGTGAAGGACAGGAGACAAGTGACAGTTCTCATCTCTAAAAACAGCTCAGCCCTTGGTAGTGGGGTTTTCAGAATGATTTGTGATTGAGATAAAGGGACTAATCTTTCTCCACTTTGTATCTCCAGTGACTTTCCCTCGGGAGGCAAAGGGGAGGAGAACAGGAGAACGTGCACATCGTGTTACCTCGGGGGAAATGGTGCACATCCTCCAGAGAAACTGATAATCCAAGGAGCTGCAAACGTCTGCAGCAAAACTGTGTGAACAGGTCTCTCCTGAACCTGCCTTCTCTGGGGCCAAAATAGCTTCTAAAGGGGAATTTGAGATTTGGCTTCTTAGCATTTTCTTTGAGTGGGTAAAAAGGAAGCATATTAATAAGGATGAGTGCTCGCTGTCAAACTGGAACCATTACAGTATTTTTCTAGTGGGGAACTTCCCCATTAGCAGGAAATGTATTTAAATCCTCTAATCACAAAAGCTGCTTTTTTTTGTTTTGATAAATTTAGAAAACTCAGTACAGCATGAAACTCTTCCTAATCCAGGTGGAAATTAGTTTCTTCAGCTAAGAGCAAGATAAATTACTTGCCCAGTTTCATGAGACTGGAATAACCATTCCTCACACTCATCAAAATGGGGTAAAACAGAGTGATGTGAGTGAGTTCCTTGGGTGCTGGGCCTTAAGCAGTGTGTAGCCAACCTTGCTCAGAATGCATTAAGAGCTTTTTCCAACAATTCAAATGTTAACTTGCTTTCCTTCTGTGTGTGGGCCTTGTGCAGTGAGACAGATGAACTGTAAATGGCTGTGACAGGTTTGATTCTCTCCTGAAGGTTTTCAAAGCGATGCAGAGGAGATTCTGCTCACAAGGCAGAGCAAATTGTCAGAGGAGGGAAATGTTTCTACAGTCCAGTAACACAGAAGATTATTATCTCAAGAATGGCACAGAAGGTTTTTCTGCTTGACCTTGTCTTGGTTAGGAGGATGGTTTGTGGTTCATGTGCAGAAAGCGTGTTACCAGATTTTTACATGCTCTTTACCCCTGGCATCTTTAGAAGGTGTTGGCTGGTTATGGCTGGCTTAGTCTGAGCACCCATCCTCCCTTGTTTATTATCCTTGTTTTCTTGATGTGGTGAGCAGTCAAAGTGAGAAAATACTGTATGTTTTGGGGCAAGATCTGATACCTCTGGTGGATCTTCTGTGTAATTTGTTTGACTGGGCAGTGTTCCATGGGAGCACTTGCAAAGCGTTAGCCGGAATGGAACTTTGCACTTCTCATTTCTAGAAAGAATTTCTAATTTTGGACTTTATTTGCAATCAAAAAACAAATTCCCCAAAAAAGCAAACGTCAAAATGACATTTGGATTTTAGACTAACTCCTCTTTCCTGTTCTCCTCGAGAACAAGAATTCTACAGTCCAAAGGCAGAGATTGTAATAAGGATAAATACAGACTACAGGACCTATAAAGGAACTGGAATTACATTGAGAAAACATCTATTCCTCCTTTGTCAGCCCTTGCCTCTCTGAGGAGAGCAGTTTTGGGGGTGGGTTTTTCTTGTTTTGCTTTTACTCTGTTCACCTGGTATTTGAGAACAGAGGCCTTGTATTCTCAAAGCTGATCCAGCTGTTGGCACTTTCAGAGTTTATTTCATACTGGACTGTCAAGCTTCTGTCTCATTCCTAAACACATGCAGACACTATTTCATACAACCCTTAGTTTCCAAACATTTCCTTTGGGAGACTGGTCTGTGTGCAAATAGAACTGTTATGTTTACCTCAGTATGTGAGGGATTTCCTTACTGTGTTTGTTCGTTCAGCTTATGGATCTGTCAGACTTGGAGGGCAGCATCAAGCACAGCTTCCCTCCCCTGCAGGGATGCAGCAGGGAACCCAGGGGATCCATCAGGCTGACTTCAGCTGCCTGTCTGCCCTAGTCAGTGTGGGGGAAACAGCTGTGGTGACCTCCATGCTACTGCCTTCTGCAGTAAACACTAAGCAAACCAGACTGAGGAGTGTGTGCTGCCTATCCAGGAGCTGATGCTCCTGTAAGACCTGATGTCAAAGTGTTAATGTGCCTTTGTGAATGGAAGCTTTTCTGTGTGTGCTCGAGGTCAGGGGACCTTCATGTGTTCAAAACAGCGATGGTAGAAAAGGCCTCCAGTTTTTCTGTCAGTGTCTCTGTCAGGTCACTTGTGTAGGTACCAGGGTGGTCAAAGCCTGAGACCCTGAAAGCTGCCTGAAAATTGTTCTATCAAAAGGGCTCTATGTTTTTGTCACTCCTGAGGGATTCTCCACTTCCAGCTGTGAAGTGGCTTTTTGTCCAGTATCACGTGTTGAAAGACTCCAAACTGTATTTACAATACAACTTTAATCTTTGATCCTTCTTTCTCTCTCTTTCCATCCTCCTTGGAAGTCGCTCCTCCTAAGCTGTAATGTGCTCAATGATGCCTTGCTGCATTCCAGTGCTTTCACTCTCCTACTTTGATCATGCAAAGGTGTAATTCCTGGAACTTGAAACAGGCTAATTTACACCCTTCAGTTTGTGCTGTTTCCTAAAAGACAAAGCTCACCAGCAGGGGACAGAACTTAAACCACATCAGTCTCACAAGAGCAGCAGGAGCAGTAACATCCCAGCTCTTTGACATGACCTGGAAGTCAGGGCTGGGGAAAGCATCCTGAAAGGACTGACCTGACTGCAGAGAGGGGATGGCAAAGAGGAGTGCAAGCCTGAACTGTGCTTGTTCTGTTCCTTCCTAAATCCTGGAGGAACAGAAAGTAATTCTGTGTGATTCTGTGCTCTCTCTCACCCAGCAGTTTAGTTTCCACCAGGAGATAAATCCAGATATAACAGGTATTGGCTGTCAGTCACTCCCTTTCCTACCACACAGTAAGATCCTACACCTATTAAAGCTGCCTGTCCTCCTGGGCTTATTCTCTCTCCTACTTGCCTCGAGCCATTCCTTCTCTCTGTTAGAGCAGCCAGAAGCCCTCACTGCCAGGTCAGCAGCAGAGGTGGGTATCAAAACCTCTGTAAATAACTCAGTGTGCAGCACAAAAGGAAAAGTAAGGTTTTAAGGTGTTAATTCCTCCTCTAAGTCTGAGCTGTGGCTTGCTGAGCAGATGAAGAAGGGCATTTTTGAGTGGGTATTTTCAAAACTGCTGGAGGGAGACAAGAAGCAAATTCTTGTTCAAAGGGTGTGAATATGGCCTGCCTGGAATATCCTGTATCTTTGCTTTGCTCAAATAGCCTTATGTATGAAGCACTTTATCCAAATGCAGGAATTAAAGAACTATTACTACAGCTGGTAGACTGGAAATGTTTACAGATCCTACATTACATTCCAAGATTCTATCTGTAAGTGTTATATGTTTGTAAAAGTGTTTAAAAAAAAGAAAAAACAAAACTTGTGTAAGAAGCTACATATGTGATGTGTTATTTCTAGCACAGTTGGATTAAACTTTTGCTGGGTTGGGCTGACATCAGTGCTGAGCAGTCACCTGCTCCTGCCCTGTGGCAGAGTGTGCAGCCATGGGGGGTGGCACTTTTTGTAGCAGAGACTTGCTGAAAGTTGATTTTATTCAGCATATTTTTACCTGAAATGCTCAGAGGAGTTCAACCTCACAGCAGGAGCTGCAAGGGTGAAAGCTGGGCTCAAACAGGACTATACATCTAACTTCTGTTTTTATAACTCTGGTAACCTCACACTGCCTTCAGCTGGAGAACCCTGAAGGAGTCTTTATCTGGACTTTTCAAAAGGCTTTCACAACACTGTTACAGCAGAACAACACACGCTTTTACTAAAAAAATATTTTTAATATTTAAAAAAAAAAATTGCAGTCATGAGGGAAAAGCCTAAACCATTAGCCAGCTGTGAAGAAAAGGGTTAACTAAGTTTTTAATAGTTGTGATCACATAACCGCTAAAGCCTACCACAGCCAGGGACTTCACACCGTGGAAAATCTTGCTGCTTTCATTTCTGCTTAAAGAAACCCCCTTGTTTTCCTTACTTTCCAGTGACCTGGAAAATAAGTCTCTGGAGAGCTGAGCAAGGAAACCCTCCTAAGTCATCCTCTCATGGTGTTGCAGCCCAATGTGGGCAGTAGCACTTGGGCTGAATGCTTCCCTTTTCTTAAACTTCCTCCACTTCTTTCAGGCTGTGCTCCAGGATGGTGTCTTGTCCCTGGAACTTAAAATAGCCACGAAACAACTTTCTCTGAAGCACCAGGGGAAACCAGTAGATATCATCTGGCCACATGCAGTTGAATGGCACCTCGTCCAGCTGAAACCACTGGGGCCGCATTTCTGGTGGGAGAAAACAAAAGAACTTGGCATGGGACTGCCTTCATAGACTTTTGCTGAATATCTGCCAACATGCACCTTCCCTCTACAGCCCAGCTGCCTCCCTTTTTTTTTTGGGGGGGGGGCATTTTGGCATGAAAATTTGGTTCTCCATTTCATAAGAGCAGTGCTGTCTCAGAAGAGCACACACATCCTTCCCTCCCCTCCACCAGCTACCTACCCTCACTTTCTGTTGGCTCTCCATGGAAGTGATCTGCCCGGAAAATGTGAACGTCCATGAGTTCAGAGTTGCCCACAAATTCAAATGTGATCTGACCCATCTTCTGCAAGGTGTCCACAGTCAGTCCACTCTCCTCCAGGAGCTCCCTGAACAAGGCATAGATTTCTTTATATGAAAGTGGGAGGAATAAAAAACCTGCAGTCAGTAGTTTAACTTGCATATTCAAAACCCTTCCAGTGAACCAAAGGTGAGAGCTGTACAACAGAGCACGGTTCTGACTTGCACCAAACTAGGAGTCTGCTTACACCACACGGGAACCAGGTCAGATGGGGTCATGTTTTATTTCAGGCTCTGAGGCTGGGAGGTAGATTGTCTATGTTGGAAGGGGAAGATTCAGGAAAACAGATCATTTAGTGTAATTTACAGTCCTTGCAACATGCTGACCTTTTCTGAGATCAGTGAGAAGTGGGCATGTGACTGTGACTGGATGTGGCTTCAGCACTCAGAGATACACTTGATTTAGACAAAGGCTTTGCCAACTTCAGGCTAAAGCTTTCAGAATTATGGGGAAACAGGTGATGAACACCAGAACAACTGTACTTGCTACACAATCAGCTGCTTCTGAGGCAAACTGAAGCTTATTTAAATTACACAATACATAACCACTTGCATACAACGTTAAGAATTCCGTCTCCCATTCAAATGCAGTGCAAAAAAAACACAAAGCAATTGTGTAAACTTTCCCTTTCCGCTCCTTGGAAGCACATTGAGCATAACTAGAGGCCAGAAGGCAGGACTTTTTTAAGAGCACTTGGAGAGATGTGCCAGACAGCTCTTTGCCACGCTCCACCATGCACAGCTACTTGACACACATCCAATTATTTCCTCTGTTTATGCTCCACGCTCAGGTTTTGGTTTTTTTTTCATTATTTTACCTCCCTCCAACAGAAGCAGTATAGCTTGAAGTTAGTAATGGTTTTTCTAATGTACAAAAATAAGGAATACTCTGAAACCACGTATCTTCAGTTAAGGTTAATAATTAATGTAGTTGCCTATTTGGCAGTAACAACAATTTTAAAATGTAATGGAAATCATTATAAGGCTCCAGCTTTCTTTGGCGGCGATTTCATGGATCCCATCCTTCAAAATTATATTTCAACTTAATGTCTTGGCTAATTTTAGTTTATCTTCTGAGAAGCTATCTATGTCTAAAATAGAGGCAGTTTTTCAGCAATGAATCTAATCTAAAAGCCTCCTTTTACAGGCAATGATAATTGAAGAACAAAGCACAACACTGCTACGGTTCTCCAGGCAATTTATCCATCAGCTGCTTGGCTCTGTAGCAAGTGGAAACATTACAGGTGGCAAATTAGAAATAACCAACTCACTCAACGTTCCCCTTACAAGGTGTGCCACTGAGCAGCTGTGGGTGCCCAGGTGCTCACAGGAATGTGCCATACCCAGCCAAGGACAGAAATCTTACTGGTACTGGGAACTTCTGTTCATGTTTCGGCTTAATGTTTAACTCTCTGTGCTGTGAGGACTTCACACCTTACACCGCTGCCAACCCAACTGAGACAGAGCAACATGGAACCACAGCCTGATACCTCAACTCCCAGTGCAAGAGAAGTTTGATTGGGACTGTGTGATGCTTCCTGGAGGAGAGCTGTAAACACACACCCAGGGAATCAAATCCCAAATCAAATAACTAGATTTACACCACAGTGTAAACCTGGCAAGTGAAGGCTGAGGTAAGTAACAAAACAGATCTCCTGCCCTCTGCTCAGAGATGATAAATTCTATGAAAAGCCACGATCTCAGTGGCAGGTATGTTATTGCCCTGTGCTGCTGGGGGCACATCTGCACAGAATGTGCTCACCACAGAACCCAGGCAGTTGGGCTGGCACAGCTGAGGAGATTGTTCAGGGCAGAAGCTGCTGGGTGGCAGCTGAGTACACCAACACTGATCTTCCTGCAGGTGCAAGGGCAATTTTGGGTTTGTATCAGGAACTGAGGAGGTGGCAAAGTGTGGCTTAGTAACAGCAATATTCATGTAAAGAACAAGATACCTGGTTTTTAGAGTGTAGCAATTCAATTGTGATCTGCTACTTCATTTCAATGACCAGACAGAAGAAAGAACTTCAAGAAATCAGCACTAAAATTTTCAAAAATTATACTGTGCCTTTTTACTGATGAAATTCAATTCCCTAACTCGGCATTAGCACTTTAAAATGCCACCATATAATAAACCAACAGTGCCTTTCATAATGGACCTCTAAGAATTTCTGCTATTTTGTCACTAC